ATTGGTTGAAGAACAGAAGTAAGGAGTGATAAATACTCTTGAAGATCACGGCTTTATTCTCAAACTCAAGTCCTTATTTTTACTTGAAACTTCTACATTCGTGTAACGATTACAAGTTTGAGAAAATGAAAAAAATCATATGTTTCGAGCATGTGAAATGTGTTCAGGTTTGTCGATGAGGGCATTAGTGTACCTTTGCCTATGTTCCACAATGTTCAAAAAGAGAAAATACTAAAGTCTTACAAATACTTCCCTTCCTTAAAGAAATTACAGCAGTTAGAAGGTTATGACTATGGTTTAAACAATGAGATTTTCTTGGGACATCTGTTTTGAGATTACATTTTGAATAGATATGAACTCATTTCCTACTAAGCAAGCAATCTACTATTGTTGATAGCTGTTTACCAGTTCTATGAGTCAGATATTAGCTAGTGGCAAAGGTCCCTCTTAAATCCTCCAAGTATTTTTTAAACTGTATACATAGTGTTTTCCTTAAATAAAATGTTAAGAGAAGTAAAAATGCAGTCTTTTCCTGCCTCTTGGTAAATTATACTCCAGAAAATGCTGCACTTGGGAATAATATTTAATGTATTTATCTTTAAAGAGTTATTTCCTTTGTTGTCATTAGGGAAGGGAGTAAGACACTAGGTTTAGCAAGTATTTAAATAACATAGAAACTATTAAGAGATGCTCACTATGTCAATATTTATATACTATTTAAAAACTAGAAGTAAAATTAAGTTTCCTTTATTTAGATTAAACTGATTGTGATTAATTTAGTATCCTCAAAAGTGTGCATAATGCCAAAAAAAAGAGGATAAACAGATTAAAACATAGCTATAGATACTATCAATTTGACCTTGAGTTCACCGGTTTTAAATTCCGCCTTTGCAATATCCCAGTCCCAATTTCCAAGCAGCATTTTTTAAGCTGGCTATGTAGATCATTCCTTAAAGCAAAAAAATAGCAATTTATCTGGCCTGTATGTTGTGGAGAGTGTTGCCACTAAAAAGAATCCAGGACATTTTTCCTTCTTATCTGCAATGTAGCTCGTATCAGCCAACCTGTCACAAGATAGTACTTGATATAAACAAGAGATTGCAAAGACATCTCAGTAATCAATATCAGGATGGCTACAGTATGGAAACCCCAACCCGTGCATATCATTTGTCTCAGCATCTATTTCTATGGTCAAATGAAGCATTAATTCAAATCATAAATCTATGGTGATTTAAATCTGGGAATGAGCACCTGCCTGCTTTAATGATTTATTTTGTACATTTCAGTAAGCAGGAGATTTGTCCATATGAACTGACAGGTCACCTTCAGATGCCAAGAGCAGACTGTTTATCACCATGCAGACTAGCATCTCATCTTAGCAAGTAAATATTAAACTAAAAGAATCCAATTGATTGTGGATGAGGGAGAATGGCGACATAGCCATATATTTTACTCAGTGTGTTGATGCCTCACTCGGATCTATCCTCAGGTGCTCACTTCTTCCTAAAGCGATCATTCTGTTGGAAAGATATGAGCTCAAGGTTACCATGTAAAATTGGGATATAAAATAATTATTCAACAGTGTCAAAGCTTTCTTTAAACATCTTTTTCTGGCTAATTTCTAAGGTTCATATTATGAACCAGGAAGGGTTGTGTGATACAAAATTATCCTGTTGTCTTACCCAGCAAATCAAACCAAACAAAGCAAAAACAAAATCTGTTATCTGGGGCTTTAAGGATTCATTTACAATCAAGGAAAAACACAATGCTCCTACAAAAAAAAAAAAAAAAAAAAAAAAAAAGAAAATCCTAAAATGTTTAACAGAACTTATGAGCTAGATTAGTACAGGAGAAAACAAGAGCCCTGAATTGTCTTCAAAAATGTCACCGGATTTGGGCAAGACTGAGTAGCAACAATACATCATTTAAGTATCACCTCTCTGAACGGTTTCACTACTTCAAAGAGTCAACAGTTGATAGATTCATGAGAGCAGTCTGTATTCTGAAATATAGGCCTTGGAGATTCTTGGGATTCCTTCTAGAATTCATGTGCTTCAGTACCACTTCCTAACCACTTCATGGTAATTGGTTCTCCTGGAGGATTCAGCACATCTTGTTAAGACTGCCTACTTACCTACCCATCTCATCCATAGACTGTATGCCCCTGAGTCCTGGGCCTGTGTTGTGATTATTTTTTGTACTCCTAGAATGAGTTAATATCGAATGTCCTACAAAATCTAAAAGATGTAACAGCTGCCCTGAAATCTCCTCACAGACCTGCAGCTTAGCAAATAACAGCTACCAGAGAGAATAGAAAAGCAGGTGGAAGCAGTTGATGATGGTAAAAAGGAAGAAGGTGATTTCCAGGAGTACAGATTTGAAGAAATAGTAATAATAATAGCAAAAGCAATCCCCAAGCTATGAACCTTACTGATGACCAAACAACTTGATAAGCAGACATTGTAATAAATAATGTGACAAGTATTTTAATTTTCATGATATAGATACTATTATTTATGTCATTTTTTCAGATATGGAGTATTGGGCTCAGAAAGCTTACATACTTTACAAAGTCACAGAGCAAGTCATTACTGAACACTTACCAAGAGACAGGCATTGTGGAGAGAAGATTGTGGCCATCAAAGCTGCAATTCAGGAATTGCTTTGATCTTTGATGCAGCTCAACCCCCACCTTCACCATTGCTTTGTACCTCCCCCACTACCACATCCCTCCTAAAATCACTTTCCTTGATCTCTAGATATATACCTGGGGTGAAAGTCTTCAGGAAGGATAATATTATAAATTGGAAATTCTTAGAGGACAGCAGCATGTGAGAATAGGATGAAAATTACAATGATAACATCTTTTTGCCCAAATCAGCTACAGATATCTAATATAAATGACCTGAATGCCTTAGGGACCAGCAGCAGCAACACTGATACTATGTTAACAGAATCTCAAATTATTAAGACTTTCTAGGAAAATTCAAGTAAATTTCTGTTCCTGGTTCATGTTGGCATTGGATGGGGGGTGTCAAAACTAAAAAGCAGTAACATCTATCAACTGCATACTTTAATGAAAAAAACAAAAGTCATTTATTCCAACTAAAATATCAAAGAAAATTCAAATTGTTTGTTTTTTAAGCCATTGCAATAGCCTATGTACCAAAATAATTAAAGTAAGCTACAATTTGGTTAGTAGGCAAATTTTGTCATGTACTATCAAATATGAAAAATATGTTTATGCTTAATTATGAACCATGTTCTCTTTATCTTATGCCTGTTGATTTCTCCAAAGTCAACTTCTGCTCTGGAAAATTCAAACAGAGATACCATGTTTTAATGTGTTTTGCTTTAAATGTTGTTAAATTGTCTATTTTAAGAATCCCTTCTCATAAAACCAACTATTAAGAACAGTCTGCTTGAACAGTCTCATCTTCTAAAATTTTGAAAACAATCCAGATTGTTTTGTAATAATAGCCATAATGTACAAGTGGCTAATTACTTGTTTTAAAAAGTGACCAACAGGGCCCCATTTTATCAGTCTAGTAAAAGGCTTTTACTTTAAAGCAATAGTTCTAAAAACAGACTTACAATTCTTGCATTTTACTTCAGTTCTGTTTTAATTTTTAAATGTCTAAATATAGGTGTGTAAACCATGCCCAAAACAATCCTCTTCCCTCCCCGTCTTCCCTCCAGGAGCATTACAAACATAAGCACAGATATTATCCTTAGTCCTCTGCAGTTGTAGGGCCATCTCTTTTGGCTCTCTTCCATGTCTTTTCATCCTTCTAAGAACTCACACTCACACTTACTCTCCATTCAAACCCACTACTGCTAGTCCTTTGCAATTTCCCTTATGTAGTTCTGCTGAAAAGGTGCATTTTTCCCTTTTTACATTACAAAAGGTGCCTTTTAGCATCACTGAAACAGTATTTTGTGTTTTGTCTATATATTTTACTCTAATATTCATGTCTGTGTATGTTTCCAGATAGCTGTTGTGAAAATGATTGTCACTAAAATCCACAGTATTCCTTTATATACCCTTAACTATGTCTTAATAGACTGAAAGTAGAGAGCTGACAATTAACTTAAGAAACAATCTATGAAAATGCTGCATGAAAAAGAGAATTTAATTGAATGGCCGTGAGTTATTAGGGTCTTCATAAATATACATTGGCTATAGTATCTTGCATACATCTTGTAGTACCCAAATTTCTCTTGTTAATTACATTTTGAGCATGATCTCTGCATTTGAAAGAGAAGCAATACAGTGCAATAGCAGAAAAAAATGTTTTGCCGCATCAACATCCAGATGCTAAGGATTTCATTAATAAAAATATTAACCCATATTTGAAGTTGTGTTTGACAAAATGAATTACCCAAATGGATAGTTGGCACAGGTAAAACTGTTCCTTTTGGTTTGACAGTGACAGTTAACTTTTCATCTTTCTCCATATGGTAGGAAAGAAAAAAAATCAAGAAATTAAAGTTGTATTTTTTAAATGAGAGACATTGATAACCGTTATCTATAAAAAGAATTAATCATCAACATAATATGTATTCCAAGAGGGCTAAGTTTGTGTCTTTTGTTGCCAATGGTAGTAAGTTTCTTACTTAATAACAAATGGATTAAAAGAATAGAAAAGTAAAGTGTAGGGTTTCATTTGTACATATTTCTCTGTCACCTTAGCTGCTCTCAATGTTTTAGAATTCTCTTGATTAAACTTTGCATTATGAAAGATGATAGCTGAATGCTTTTAGAAGTTGCAGACATAAAGTTGATCCTATAATTAAAAATAATGTTGCTAATTATTCCTTTAGAATGAACAATTATCATTAGTTGTTAGAGGCAAAATGGTATCCTCAAACATACACTGTTTTCAAGCTAAAAGTGTCAACTTTTTGAATGGGTAGCCAACAGTTTTGTTCTGGAAAAGTCAGTACTGCAATTCAGTAGCAAAGTGATCACAATAAGTTTCAGTGAACATAAAACTTACCAACACTTGAATTCATATCCCCATTTTCAGAGTCTGCTCCATGTTGGTTATTACTGGCATGATAGTTGCTCATGGCTTCTAATTTGATTTTTTTCACCTTCATTGCTTCGGCAATAGCTGCATTGGTAGCAGCAGCAGCTGCTGCAGCTGCTGCTGTCAGACCTTAAAAGAATAAATTAAAAATGAGGTAATTCGAATTCCAATTTTTCATTTAATAGTTCCTGCACTTGCTATAACAAACATACAAACATTTATTAGAGTATCTGATTCCTTTATGCAACACTTTGATAATTTATACTCATTCCCAACTAGACAATGAAACAACATTGATATAAGGGGAGAGAGTGATTGCTACAGTCCAAAATTAAATATTAACAGAAACAAAATTCACAGATAGAAGGCTAATAGTGGAAATGCAGCCACAGTTATTTCTTAAAGAAACCAATCTACCAATCTAAATATGTCCTTTCCTGCTTAAAATCCCCCGTAGCTGCCTACACGGAGGGAAAAATCTGAACTGTTAACTGAGTTCACAAGTACTTTCACAAAGGCGTGTAAACCTACTTCCTCACCCAGTTTGTTTGTTGTCATCCACACCCTGGCTATGTCACACATGTCACCATTACCCATACATGCCCTGCCTCTTCAAGCCTGTGCTTTCACACATGCCATTCCCTTTTGCCTGGAACCTTCTTGCCCTATGACAGACATTTCCTTGACTTCTCATCCTCCTGAAGAAAGCTACTCATTAGAAGTCTTCCCATTCCATGGCCGCCAGCTGCCTGGATGCCTGGTCTGTTCTTCTCCCCCTGGCCCATGTTGATACCTGTGCTGCTGTTATAGGACATGCCACACTGCACTGGAATGGTCCCTTGGGACACCTGTTTTCCTTACTAGATCGTGAACTACTCAATGGCAGGAACCGTGTGTTGCTACACAGCTTGGTATTCCCAGTGTTCAAGGTGTCCAAAAATAAAATATAATATAATGAAAGCTAACACTTAGCTTCTAGTTATGAAATTTAAGTGCTGATTTAAGTGACACAAAAGTAACTTAATCATCTTAATAACCCTCTGTGATTGATCACTATTATCCTTACTTGAAAGATTAGAAAACCATGGCACACGATTTAAAACAGCACACTCTGGCCTCAGAGTTGACACTTTTAACCACTATGCCAAGGAAATCTGTCCAGAATAGTTCATCTTCATCCATCCAGAGAACAGGGGGTAGGGGCAGACATTAAATTAGAAATAGAGTTTGAGCCGGGTGCAGTAGCTCATGCCTGTAATCCCAGCACTTTGAGAGGCAGAGACAGGCAGATCCCTTGAGCCCAGGAGTTTGAGACAAACCTGGGTAACAGGATAAAACCCCCTCTCTACAAAAAATACAAAAAGTAGTTGGGCATGCTGGCCTGTGCCTGTAGCTCCAGCTACTCAGGAGGCTGAGGTGAGAAGATCAATTGAGCCTGAGAAGCTGAGGCTGCAGTAAGCTGTGAGCACACTTGGGTGGCAGAGTGAGACTCTGTCCCAAAAAAAGAGAAGAAAGAAAGGAAGAGAAAAGAAAAGGAAGGAAAAGAAAAACAAAAAGAACAAAAAGAAAAGAAACAGAGTTTGAGACAAGATCTTGAAGACCAGAATTAAGACCATGCTGCTCTGACTTTACATATTTATGGAGAGAGATAATAAGCAGAGGTTTTTGAGCAGGGGAATGGTTTGTCTTGCTTAAATGTGTGAACTTTTGCCAAGTCAGTTCACTTCAGGCTGACGTCCCTCATCTGCAAAATGACAGACACTGGAATGTATAAATGATCTCTCCTAATTCTAAAACTTTAAGTCTACGAGAAGATAAATATCCCCACCCCCACCCATATATATATATTTTTTTACTGTGGCTGCTTTAGTATTTCTGACTACAGTGCTCCAGCCGTTTGAATTTATCTGTGTGATTTATTTCCACTCCCAGCTGGTGGATTAGAGCCTGAGCACCGCTCTCCTCCTTTTCCTCCCCGCTAATCATCACTTCTAGTTACTCTAGCAAATAAGTTCCTGCCCAAGGAATTATAAGGAAGTATTTTTCTATGAAAATCTCTGTTGGTTTTTTAGAGGTTAGAAGAAGACTTCACCTTTCCTTCAAATCAGACCAAAGAGGCCCTGACAACTTTCACCCCAACGCAACAAGACCTTCAGATTAGGTCTTTACATGAAAAACTGATAATCATCCCTTAAAAGGCACTAATCTAAACTCAAAGAATCCATCTGGGTTTGATCTGAACATTCATTGCCTTTTAAGTCACAACTTGAACTGATTCTCTCATCTTCCTATGATTGAATTTTCTCCCCAATTACTCATTTCCTTCAAAGATGTTTCAGAAAATTTTCTTTCCTGTTCTCTTAAAAGTCTCTTTGTGTTTTCCAGCAAATCTTTCTTCCTCAATTTTGTTTCGTTACCAGTGTGAACATCCCATTTTTCCTTGGTTACCTGATGTTGACCCATCTCCAATTTATGACTTCAAAAGTCTTTGTCTTGGATTTGTGCTGCAGGGAAAACTTGTTCACAGTATTCAAATAATAAAGGTAAACTTACAACTCACTATTATCAGAGAGATCCAAATCAAATTAAGTACCAGGAACCATGTCTATGTATGACATGGCCTTGGAACCAACCATCCAATTTTCTTGAATATAATTTTCTTCACCTGTAAAACCATTCTAATCCCCAAGAAAAAATATAAGGACAAATAAGATAAACTACATGAGGAATGCCATATTATGTTTAGTAAAAACTAGGCATGCTATTCATTCTAGTTTGTTAAAAAGAAAGACTTGGCCTCACTGTAATTTCTGCAGAGTATCTGTGGCCTGACACAGCCCTCTCAGCTGGAATAATCACATTTGTCCTTAGGTGGCTGGATTAACCCTTGACTTTTAAAAATATTTTTTAAGATTTTATCATTTAGCTGATTTATTTATGGTACTCCTTTATTTTTCTATGACAACTTTTCCCAGTTTTACATTTTTAACACAAAGTCGAAAAGATATATGTGTGTCACTGACACACACACACACACACTCTCACACATTTTTACATGCTGTAACTTAACTACAACCCTTTTTAACATTCCACTTTTAGCCCAGTTTTATGAAAGCAGAAAGAAAGCTATGACATATGCAACAATTGTTGATTTTAGCTTCACTAACTCACCTGGCTGTTTGATGGGTTCTCAATTTTAATTATTTAATATCTTTCCAATTCAACTAGTTTTCTCCATTCCCACTGCCCCTCCCCACCAGTAAAAGTTCCAATCTTTTCTTTCTTAGAGTCCTGCTCAATATAATAGCTTCCACATCACCCACCTCCAATCTCTTACTATCCACGTCATAGCCAAATCTCATGAAAGTAAAGATTTTTCCTTTTTCTTCCTTTTTTTTTTTTTTTTTTTTTTTTTGAGACAGAGTCTCCTTCTGTCACCCAGGCTGGAGTGCAGTGGCGTGATCTCCGCTCACTCCAACCTTCGCCTCCAGGGTTCAAGCTCTTCTTCTATCTCAGCCGCCCGAGTAGCTGGGATTACATGCACGCACCACCGCATCTAGTTCATTTTTGTATTTTTTGTAGAGACGGGGTTTCACCATGTTGGCCACGCTGGTCTGAAACTCCTAACCTCAAATGATCCACCTGCCTCGGCTTCCCTAACAGCTGGGATTACAGTCATGAGCCATGACACCTTGCCTGAAAGTGAGGATTTGAATATACACTCTATGCCTGCTCTTAGGATCCAGTTCAGTGCTTCTCATGGCTGTCAGCGCCCTTTGTTCTCAGTTCCCTGCCTGTCTGTATGGATCCCTTGCTCCTCCACCTCCCCCTTGCTCTCTGTGCCCCAGGTACATAGGCCTTCTTTCCTTTTCACTAGCGAACGACTTCATTCTTTCTTTTAAGTCAGTCTTTGCACATTCTGTTCTCATTTTCTAGAAGAGCCCTCTATGCCCTGGCCCCAGACTTGCCTATGCCTTCTTCATGCCATCACTTTAATATTATGTGCTCAGAGTTGGAGGCTCAGGTTCCTGACTCTTCACTATCTACCTAGGAAAGAACTGTCAACATCTGAAGAATCAGCTCATGGCTTACTTTTTTAAAGAGCTGTACCTGACCTTCCCCAATCTACCCCACTTGCTTGTGTTTGCATCTCCCCTGCTGTATGTGAGTTTGCCATCCCTAGCTGTGCATCAGAGTCACCCATGGAGCTTTTAAACCATGCAAATAGCTCAGCCCTGCCATCTGAGATTCTGAATCATCAGGTCTGGCTTGGGGCCTCTGCAACTGTATATTTTTGGTTAATCTTACTATTCTACAGGTCATTTTAATGAGTAATTCCAGTAAAGAAAAACAGTCTCTTAAACTCTTTATTGCTCTTTTTCGGGGGCTGGGGCCAAGGAGTGTAGGATTAGGATTCTGACCTCTAACTAGGTCATAGCACCAAAAGGGCAGAAATACTTTCTTAGTATATATATATCCCAAACATCCGCTGCAATGCTTGGCACATATTGTCACTGAATGAAAAAATGCTTATCAAATTAGATTACATGGAAAGCCACAGGAGAAACATGGTCATTATTTTGGCAATGTCAATGGAAAGTAATTTAAAACATTATTTTTATGTTATAATAAGTGTGTATATACTAAGAATAACAAATCTCGTTAATTTAATATAAAGCATGACTCTCCAAAGGTATGTCTTGCCTAGGGCTGGAGAGGATCGCGAAGATTCACCACCTCAACCCACTCTGCATTTATTGAACTTCCTGTTGGCCTTGCATTCAATCCCTGATGTAATTCTCAAATCCCTTCCAATTTCCTGTCTCTAAAAACATAGTTTACAATCTATACACTAACCTTAAATAGAGGTCCCATTGTATATGTTTTTCCCAAGCAAAGTTGTCTTAAAAAAAATCATGTAATAAATTCACAAGATAACTCAAGTCTTTGGTCTATACTAAATAGAGAATATATAAACTATAACAACATTTCTATGTAATCAAGAATTGCCCACTGGTGTAAACACTGGCAAACCATAACATTTGCCACATCCTTTTCCTTCCTTTTATAACCCTTTCCACACTTATCGTAGACCTTCTGCCCTGTCTTCAGATTCAGGGAAATTTTAG